GGTACGACGAACGTTGTCCTGGAGGGTGCGGCCAGATTTATGTCGGCCCTACTGACAAACGGACATTGCTACATCAAGCGGTTCTCCTTCCGAGTGCGATCGGACAACCCAATGCCAGGCTGTTTCCGGTGTATGGGTTTTGATCATAGAGTGGCTAAGTGTAAAATGAAGTCGGATCTCGAGGGGCACCGGGCAGCAGGCTGCGGCAATGCTGTGCACTGTCGCAACTGTCAGTTTAAGGGCCTTTCAGCCGGTCATCTTATGATGTCGGCTGCTTGCCCTATTTAGGGTGCTGTCGTTGCCCGTGCTCTCGCCAGACACTGATGGTTAGGGCAATTCAGTTAAATTGTCAGGGGTCTTACGCCTGTATGTGTGAGTTGGGAGCTTGTGTGTCTTAGGGGGGTTAGAGCGTTGCTTTGTTCCAGGAGCCTTATGCCACGAATGGTGTGGTAAGAGGTCTACCTGGAGGCTTTAGGGTCTTTTCTGACCTTAGAGTCAACGCTGCAGTTATAGTGTTTGAGCCCAACTATGAGTGTATGGTCGTTGAAGCGACCGGGTAAGGAGTTTGTGTGTGTATTGATGGAGATTTTGGAAGATTGTATGTGGCCAGTTTGTATTGCTAGTTTGGTGAGCCTCTTGAGCCCAATTTGGGATTCCTAGATACGGTGCTTCTACGTGTGAGTCGCAATCCGCTTATCATTGGAATGGATGCATATGCGTTTTCCCCGATGTGGTTTAGTAAAGTTTTGTGAGTGTTATTGAACGACTTGATGAGTTTCGATGTCCGGAAATAACTCTTTGGCGCAGTTATTTCTCGGAAAGAGAAGCAACAATTGTAGGGCAAAATTAGTGTGTTAGTATTGGTGTGGTTCGTGGCTGCCCTCAGGGTTCCATCTGTGGTCCAATTGTTTGGAACCTCATGATGGATTCCTTGTTGACGGAGTTGGATCGGGAGTAAAAGTGTTGTGCGTATGCGGACGATCTTTTACTTATGGTAGAAGTTCAGTCAAGGTTGGATCTGGAGCGTGTTGGTGAACGGCTCCTTGGAGTCGTCCGCAATTGGGGTGTGAGTGTTGGAGCTGACATCTCGGTGTTTGTTGTTTTTCGGCTGCTTTTGGGGAGCGCTAGCGCTCCGTTGTGTTGTCTGCGGTTACCAGTTGGTTCGCCGTGTTGGGCCAGGTGTCTTGGAGTTTCTGCTCCTAGTAACATACCTGGTTAGTCGAACCCGTGTGGGTGCAGCTTTCCGCTTGGACTGCGATTGTGGTAGCTTGCGTTTTATTCCCACAGTACGTGCTCGGTGTAGTCTCCACATTGGTCGACCCATCCTCGTTACGGGGATTAATTTCCGTCCGGCGAGGCTAGGTGGTGACCTGTGCCGGGCCTTTGGTCTGGTGGTGTGGGTTGCACTCCCGCGTTTTGCTTTGGCCGTCTGTGAAGTGTAGCTACTGTAAGGCGCGTCAGTTTGCGGTTGGATCCAATCGAGTGATCGCACCAGTTTTGTTGCTCTTCAGATGAACTTCCTGGGCACTTCTGGTTCGGCGAATCGGTAAGCCCTTCTGGGATGCCAAAGGCTACCCAGCGGAAGCGGGGTTCTGCCCGTGGAGCAGATAGACGGAGCTCCGCATCGTCGATGCGGAATGATGATTCGACGACGACGACGAGGCGAGGAGACGTGTGCGGTCACGCGGGTCACGGACTCGCCCCCGAGGAAGCGCACGGAGACGGGTGCGGTCACGCGGGTCACCGACTCGCCCCCGAGGAAGCGCACGGAGACGGGTGCGGGAGTGGTAGCGGTGTCGGTAGCGAGAGCGGGTTCGGTTGCGGAATCGGGTGCCGAATCGGGTGAGTTGTCGGGTTTTACCTGTGGGGGATTGGTTGGGGCTGGAACCAGTCTCGCTTACAGTGGCTTGTCTACTGGGGCGGCTGGTTCCAATCAGGTTAGGGGTCAACCCATATACACTGGTGCGACCAAGCAGTTGGTTGAGGGGCCCACTGCGGCCAGCAACGTCACCGTTAGCGACATGCGCGGTGGAGCGTCTGCTGAGGCGGTGAATGCAGTGAAGGGTTCGGGCGGTCTCGTCAAGGCGTGTAAGGCCATTACCGCCAAGACAATGAGAGCTGCGTGCGATTTGATCATATCCAGGGAGACCATGAAGAAGCTGCTAGAGTTCTCCTTGGAGTACCAAGAGCTCCTGATGACGGCAATTGCCGAGAATGCTCACCTTCATGGGAAAATCGAGGGACTCCAGAAGCGCCCGGCCATGGCTGTGGCGGCTGAACGTGCGTTGATGCCAGCGCCCCCAGCGCCTGCACTTGGGGCTCATTCTACGACGCTACCTAAGATAGTAGAGACATGGTCGGTCGTGGTGAGAAGTAAAAATCCTTCTACCCCTTCAAAGGAGGTGGTACAGAGAGTGGTGAAGGAGGTGTGCCCTAACCTTAAAGTTAGGGTACATGAGATGAAGGCCGTTAAAGGCGGCGGTGCGATTATTCGCACGTCTTCTGTTGCTGAGCGAGAGAAGGTCGCCAAAAAGGAGCGCTAAACGAGGTGGGGTTGGATGTGGTAGTGAACCGGAAGCTAGGAACCAGGGTTGTGGTTCAAGGAGTTCATATGGAGATCACTTCTGACGAGTTCATGGGTGACTTGATCCGGATGAACTTCGAGAACCTTAGTCCCGGATGCCGACCGCAAGACGTTCGGTTGGTCAATCGTCCTTGGGAGAAAACGCCTGATGGTACGACGAACGTTGTTCTGGAGGGTGCGGACAGATTTATGTCGGCCATACTGGCGAACGGATGTTGCTACATCAAAGGGTTCTCCTTCCGAGTGCGATCGGACAACCCAATGCCAGCTGTTTCCGGTGTATGGGTTTTGATCATAGAGTGGCTGAATGTAAGATGAAGTCGGATGTCTGTCGAAAGTGCGGGCAAGATGGGCACGGATCGGCAGGCTGCGGCAAGGCAGTGCACTGCCGCAACTGTCAGTTTAAGGGCCTTCCAGCCTGTCATCTTATGATGTCGGCTGCTTGCCCTATTTACGGTGCTGTCGTTGCCCGTGCTCTCGCCAGACACTGATGGTTAGGGCAATTCAGTTAAATTGTCAGGGGTCTTACGCCTGTATGTGTGAGCTGGGAGCTTGTGTGTCTTAGGGGGGTTAGAGCGTTGCTTTGTTCCAGGAGCCTTATGCCACGAATGGTGTGGTAAGAGGTCTACCTGGAGGCTTTAGGGTCTTTTCTGACCATAGAGTCAACGTTGCAGTTGTGGTGTTTGAGCCCAACTATGAGTGTATAGTTATTGAAGCCACCGAGTAAGGAGTTTGTGTGTGTATTGATGGAGATTTTGGAAGATTGTATGTGGCCAGTTTGTGTTGCTAGTTTGGTGAGCCTCTTGAGCCCTATTTGGGATTCCTAGATACGGTGCTACTACGTGTGAGTAGCAATCCGCTTATCATTGGAATAGATGCGAATGCGTCTTCCCCGATGTGGTTTAGTAAAATATCCAGGCAAGTTGCCGGATATGCTAGCCATCATCAGGGCGAGATTTTGTCTGAATGGTTGGAGACAAATAGTCTCCTTGTAATGAACGGGCCGAGTGAGTGGTATACGTGTGAAGGGCCAGGAGGAATGAGTGATATTGACGTTACGCTTATGAGTGTGGCAGCAAATAGGGTGTTTGATTTTAGGTGGAGTGTTAGGGGAGAAGCAAATAGCTCATCTGAATGAATGTGTATGGAGTGTGAATGATTGTATGTTTCGTAGGTGGAAGTGTGACGGTGTGAGAAGGTCTGTGAAGTGGTGGACTAGGGATAAGAGTGAGAAGAGGAAATCCGTCCGGCGGTTGAGACGTCAGTTCCAACGCGCCCGACGTGGCAACCGCGAGAGTGTGGATCGTCTGAAGATCCAATTTAGGCGTTGTATGAATGAGTATAAGGAGATGTTGGTGCGATTCAAAGAGAATGAATGGAGAATGTTTGTTGAATCCAATAGGGATGATCCCTGGGGTCACGTCTATAGGATTTGCCGTGGTAGGAAGAATGAATATGTAAATTCTCTCCGTGTTGATCGTTCTGTACTATCAACATGGAGGGGTTCTTTCCTAGGGTGGAGTCACAGGTACCTCATGCACAAGTAGTCTCCACATTGGTCGACCCATCCTCGTTACGGGGATTAATTTCCGTCCGGCGAGGCTAGGTGGTGACCTGTGCCGGGCCTTTGGTCTGGTGATGTGGGTTGCACTCCCGCGTTTTGCTTTCGCCGTCTGTGTGGTGCAGCTATTGTAAGGCGCGTCAGTGTGCGGCTGGATCCAACCGGGTGATCGCACCAGTTTTGTTGCTATTCAGCTGAACTTCCTGGGCACTTCTGGTTCAGCGAATCGGTAAGCCCTTCTTGGGATGCCAATGGCTACCCAGCGGAAGCGGGGTTCTGCCCGTGGAGCAGATAGACGGGGTTCCGCATCGTCGATGCGGAATGATGATTCGACGACCGGAGGCGAGGAGACGTGTGCGGTGACGCGGGTCACGGACTCATCCCCGGGGAAGCGCATGGAGACGGGTGCGGGGGCGGTAGCGGTGTCGGTAGCGAGAGCGGGCTCGGTTGCGGAATCGGGTGCCGAATCGGGTGAGTTGTCGGGTTTTACCCGTGGGGGATTAGTTTGGGCTGGAACCAGTCTCGCTCACAGTGGCTTGCCTACTGGGGCGGCTGGTTCCAATCAGTTTGGGGGTCAACCCACATGCAGTGGTGCGACCAAGCAGTCGGTTGAGGGGCCCACTGCGGCCAGCAATGTCACCGTTAGCGACATTCGCAGTGGAGCGTCTGCTGAGGCGGTGAAGGGTACGGGCGGTCTCGTCAAGGCGTGAAGAAGCTGCTGGAGTTTTATTCGGAGTACGAAGAGATCCTGATGACGGCATTTGCCGAGAATGCTCACCTTCATGGGAAAATCGACAGACTGCAGAAGCGCCTGAGCCATGCTGTGGCTGCGGTTGTGGTGAGGTTTGCTGTTGCCTATCCAGCTCGGCCGGATCGAACTTCCGCTTTTTGGGATGCTGGCGTGGTGCCGTCTGTTGGTTGTTGGTGTTAGTGGGCGGGTGCTGTTGTTGTTGCTGTTGATAGAGAGCATTTTGTTGTTGTTGTTGTTGCTGACCGGCAGCGTTCGTATTACTGTTATGCGTTGCTACTCCAGTTGCAGTGGACGTGGATGCCGCTGTTGATGTGCTGCTGCTGTTTGTTACTGCTGTTGCGGCCGATGATGGTATTACCATTTTGCTGGGCGACGCAACAGCAATACGTTTGCCACACGGCTCCCCCTCCTCCACCACCTCAGCGTCGACAGCAGAGCTATGCTTTTGACTTCGCTGCGATTGCGGCGTAAAGAAATAGTTCTGCTCTCTTTGCTGTTGCTGCTGTTGTTGTGTCGCGTTCTTGGCGTTTGGCTGATCCTGTTGTAACTGCAATTGCTGATTTGCTACGTACAATGCGGCTGTTGTTGCTGTTGCTCGCGCTGTGACCGCTTTGACCATCTTTCAGTTAACGTTGCAAGCGACATTGAGGCAAACTTTGGCAGCCACATTCGTTGTGGTGCAGTCTGGNCAAGGTGCTGGAAAGGGTTCTGGTTGAACGTCTTCAGGAGCTAATGAGGGGTAAGTGGTCGGATAGACAGTATGGTTTCCGGAAAAGACGTGGTGTGGAAGATGCTTGGATGTATGTTCAGAATGTTGTTAGGGGGAATGTCAGTAAATACCTTCTGGGCATATTTATTGACTTTAAAGGAGCGTTTGATTATCTGTGTTGGGTGAGAGTTATTGAGCGACTTGAGGAGCTTCGATGTACAGAAATAACTCTTTGGCGCAGTTATTTCTCGGGCAGAGAAGCAACAATTGTAGGCCAAAATGAATGTATTAGTGGTGGCTAGTGGCTGCCTTCAGGGCTCCATCAGTGGTCCAATTGTTTGGAGCCTCGTGTTGGATTCCTTGACATCGGAGTTGGAATGGGAGTGTGAGTGTTTTGCGTATGCTTATGATATTTTACTTATGGTAGAAGGACAGTCAAGGTTGGATCTATATCGTGTTGGTGAACAGCTCACTAGATTCGTTTACAATTGGGGTGTGAGTGTTGGTGTTGACATCTCGGTGGAAAAGACGGTGAAAATGTTGCTCAAGGGCAAATTGGCCCCGACTCTCCCACCGGTTGTACATATTAATGGGGCCAGTGTCAGGTCAAATACTTGGGACTGACCATTGGTGAGAGAGTGAATTTTGCTGCGCACTTTGTGCGTTTGAAAGAGAAAATGCAGTGTGTTGTCGGGCAAGTACGTCGCGATTTAAGGTATGATTGGGGCATCAGTCGGCGTGCTGTCAGAACCATATATAGAGGTCTGTTCGTAGCTTGTGCAACTAACGACTCTGCTGAATGGTACAGATCAGCGATGACAACGGTTGGAAGAAAAATGCTGCTGTCAGTGCAAAGACTGATGTTGCTAGCTTGTGTGCCAGTGTGCCGCACCGTCTCTACTGAGGCGTTGCAGGTGTTAGTGGGTGCCCCTCCGCTTGACTTGTTGGTGATACAGCGTGCTGTAGCCTTCAAGCTGAAGAGGAGATTGAGTGTTGAGTTGCTGCAGGATGGTTGGTTAACTGATAGGGACCTAGAGTGTGGGTACTTAGAATGCCGTAGGCTTCTAAGTGCATGTGTGTTTAGGAAGTGGCAAGACCGTTGGGACAATAGCTCTAATGGTCGCGTGACATATGAATACATTCGGGACTTCTCGCTTGTGGTGGAAAATCGAGACTTCAGATTATCTCTGAGTATGGGTTTTCTGCTAACCGGAACGGCGAGCTGTTAGTGTGGTTTAGAGCGAGAGGATTGGATGCATTTGTTGTGTGAATGCCCGATGTACTTAGACATTAAGGACTTAGGTGGTATGGGAATAGTTAGGACAGATGGACGTTATAGGGTGTGTGATGTTCTATCATGTGGAGAGTACATGCGTGTGTTTGAAGTGTTTGCGCGTGATGTGTTTAGATGAAGAAGGCATCTGAGGTTTAATTGACCATTTGGTAAGGAGTATGAATGAGCATGTATGAGTCGGTACGCGGAGAATGAAGTTCAACCCCAGGCCACCAGTCCGGAGCTGTATGGAAGCTCAACTGGTAGTAGTTTCGGTAACGAGGTTCGACCGGAGACCTAAATCTGCAACTACGGGGAACAGGAGCCCTCGGAGCTTGCTCCGACCTGTTCATGCGGATAGGCCCCCTCCGGGAGCATCGTGGTGGCTGTGGTTTAAACCCAAATGCGGGAAGAGTTGACCTTATGTCAGCTGAATTTGGAGTTGCATTGCAACCAGGTGCCGGACCCATAGTACGGCAGAGGTTTTAGATAGGCCTCGAACCCTACCAAAGTAGTTAGTGTGTCCACTCCACACTGCCAATTGGTATCCTAATGCTTGCATTATGGGGCGCTGATCAACGCATTGATTTGATCCGTTGTGTTTTTGAGCACCGTGAGGTTAGGCCGACGTCGGCAGGTACTCACGTAAAGCATATCGGACGATGTCCCTA